AGGAAGCAGATGCAATCTACATCGTAGGTGGCGATGGGACTCTCGGAAGAGTTGTCACTGGAATTTTACGAAATAGGTTCGTGTCATGGAAAACGGTATGCTGCTTTCATACATTGCGATTATGGGAAATACCAGTTCGGGAGAATCAGCGATTTGGAACAGTGTACCATTTGGGAGTTGTGCGAAAAGAAAGAATATTATCGTTATGAGAATGTGCGATTTAGGAGAGTTCACCATAGAAGAGAATGCGCGATTCGAAACCCGCGACAAAGGATTAGAGCGCGTTCAGACTCTGCGATCGCGCGATCCAGTCGAGCAATCGCGACCAGGGCGCTTCACCGCCAGACCGCCGTAAAGAACCTAAAAGATTACGAGAATGTTTCAAAAGCCGCAAGGCATGCGTGCACAGAAAGTTATAAGAAAAACGGAGCAGCGCATGAACGCGGCCCGATTGATTCAGTTGTTACTGCGGTTCACCGATTGGCGGTGTGGCACCCTCGGTCACGATCGCTCGACTGTATCGCGCGATCCAGTCGAGCGATCCGATCGCGCGATTCGGTCGCGCGTTCGCGAAATCTGAACGCGCTCTTGCATGGGATCGGCAGACTCCGCCCACTGCGAGAATCCCGTTCGTGGGGAATGCGGATTAGGGCACGTCGTACTATGGGAATCCCGGGTCTTATTTGGCCGTTGGGGGGGGGGGGGGTGGTCCTAATTGCATTCGGGAAAAATGATCGCGGTTGTTGTTTCCTCTGAATTCTGGTCTCACGCTCTATGTGCCACCGCTCTACGGCAGTTACTGAAAAGAAAAAACTCCGGAAAAGTGGCAGGAAGTTGGGAAAGTTTAGGAGCATGGTGAGTAGGGTGGCGAGTGGTCCACGGGGTGGGGGGTCAAGGGGGCGGGTCGTACTTTGCAAAAATCTTCCGATACGGTAGGACGTTCCCGGTGCGTGGTACTGGAAAGAGCGAGGTTTGAGAGAACACGCGATTTGAAATAGTTGACTCCCATCAAACCCTTTGAGGTCGGTTCTCCTGTGTCTTAACATCCTAGGATTATGCAGCCTGTAGATCGATACATATAATTACTTCCCACAATCTTTCTTCTTTTGGACCGCCAATTTACCGGAATCGCGTAGTCTCTAATCCGCAAAGTATGAACGTGGCCTGACTGTAAATTCTTCCCGATGGATCGTGTGCTTCATTGATTGAAACTTGCTTTTTATTAGTAACGTTCTAGGGAGAAGAGGCTGTGGCTGGCCAGAGATTGAGTGTTTCCCTGGCGGGTACGACAATCTGTCGCTGATGCGGCTCGTTCCGCATGTTTTTGGTGAGTTTCAGAAGAAACTGTAAGATCTTCAAGAACTTCACGTATCTTCCTTATCATAAGGAGTCAATAATAAGCTTTAGAATCAACAAAAGATGTTCGGAGAATGTGCGAGAGTGCAATGGCACTCATTGAAGAGCAGAGTC